GCTGATCCATCATAAATAGAAAAATTTTGCATTTCATTTTTTGATCCCTAAATATAGTTTATTCAAAAAACAAAATACACGAGATGATGCAGCATGAAAAGCTCTATAATTTACATAGCACAACTAATTTTATAGTTGCATTTGCTGTGTTAAAAAATCGACAAAGTTTTGAGCAATCAAATTTCGACGCTGCGAAAACAACATTTTTTTGATAAACGACGAGTTCGTTTTATTCTTATTTCATCTTTGCTTTACCTGATATCTTCCATTAAACAAAAAATAAAACATACCACAAGATGCAGCGTGAAAAGCTCTACAATTTATACAAGACAGCTTATTTTACAGTGACATTTCTTTATTTTGAAAATCAACAAAATTCTGGACGATCAAACTTTAACGTTGCAAGAAGAGTGTTTTTTTTTCGTATGCGACGAACTCATGTTTTATCCTATTTATCAGTTAATATGTTTTAGTTTGAAAAACGATGTACACCATAAGATGCAACGTGAAAAACCTTACAATTTGTGAAGAACAGTTTATATTATATATGCAACTTTTGTTATTAAGAAAAACCAAAATTGTGAGAGAGAAATTTTGTAGGATGCAAAAATCCTACATGAAAGAAGATTTCCTTTTTTCGTTATTTCATCCTATTATCATTCAATATCTTTTTTTTTCAAAAAACAGAATATGGTGAAAGATGCAGCGTGAAAAGCTCTACAATCTACAATATGAAACTTGTGTTAACTGTGTTCTTTTTATTTTGAAAATAAAAGCAAAATTCTTTGAACTATCTATCGCAGCATCAAGAATTGATTGCTCAAAATACTGGTTTTTTTGAAAGAAAAAGTACATAATCAACGTAAGCTTTATATTACAGATTGTAGAGCTTTACATGCTGCATCTTCTAGTATATTTTGTTTTTTTTTTAATACAATCTTCTTGGTAATCAAAATATCAAATGCAAAGTTTTGTCATTTATTACAAGACACGCATTATGTAGCGCGTGGAAAAATTGTATGTTACTCACGTGAAGGAAATGATAGATTACGGCAAAATACAAAACTTAGAACTCTGAAATGTTGCACATAATCCTAAATACGTTTAAGCATTATAACAGTATACTTGAGTTAAAACTGAGGCTTTTAGAAGAGCTGGGCGAACAAACTTTTGTAGTGCCCTATGTAAAAGAATACTTTCATTTACCAATTATGATTTGTTTAAGTTCATGAAGTTTTGTTTTAATTGCTTCAACTAATTGAATATCATTCGGAATATGTTCTGGTAACCAAGATGTTT